GGATTTGGACCCGGGATTTGAACCCCCTTCACACGGTTTCCCAAGTGAGCGCCTTATCCCTGGGCTGCCACTGCCTTTAAAAATCATTAAAACCATCAAATTATTATTAGTTATAACATAAAGCCAAAGAGTTTGTTTTTAAATAGGTTGAACGTAATTAATATTTTAACCATATTTTTTAATCAATAATATCAAGTTTATGATTTTAAATGAAAATTTAAAAGACAGAGCAAAACACATGTCTAACCAAGTCTAATAAAAGTAATTAGCTAATGTAGTTAGGTCTAATGTGCTTGGTGGAAAATGAAGAAAATGTTCCATCTGCTCACTATTTGAATAAAGTTCAATTGATATAGATTTTACAGTTAAAATAAATATAATCTATCGTTAGTTTTAACAATTACCGTTTATATCATTCTTTGTATGCATATTTATGAGATTGATAAAAGGCAATCTTTAGGTTTCTCAAATTTTATTACCATTTATATATGTATGTATATAGGGTCAGTGGGTGTCAACAGCCCGTTTCATAGCTCTAGTTTAGATGATAAATTATTCAATCAAATTGAAATTGAATTAAAAATATATATTATTTTTTTGAATGAATGACACTCAGTTTTGTGAGTTATATGACTTATAAAATAATATTGATAATATGAGATGTTCAAGAATGGAGTTAAGAATTTTTATTTAATAATTAGCGACTCACCCTCTTTTCGCTCGGGTTCGTCCTTAGTTACGTTTTAATGTTTAGCTCAGAGTTGAGATATTTTATTTATAAAAAGTATCCTACATGTTGACCCGGGTAATGAAAGCCATCATCATACCAAATTTCATCACAATCTGTCCAGTGTTTCTGTACTGTATCGAATGTTATTGTATATATAGATTTTTATCTTCCTAATCTAGAGCTTTTTAGATGAGATGAAAAAGGTACAGCAATGACAAATGAAATTTTCTTGAAATAATTTATAGGGCTTAATGGACCATTCCATTGGAGTTACTTAGTTGATGTTTTAAACGTGGTTAAGGCCATCAATGTTTTCAGCAGACTTCGACGTGGAGTTCATATAACAATTATTTACTTCAAAACAGTTAAAGCAAGATAATTGAAAAAATTAAACACTTCCCTAGGTCTAGATATAATATATGCTTAAACTAAAAATATAGTATTTCTAGATAGTCTTTCTGGATTATTTAGGATATATTCACTACAGTTTGTAGCGGACAATAAATTAAAAAAAAAACATAAAATGAAATGCGTGATTAACTTTACTAGTTACGGTTTGTAAACTATGTACTGTGTATGAAGATAAGATCTTCATGGCACATTATTCTAATGTAAAAGTGAAAATATAGTAAATTATGATCATAAAAATCGATAACGATAAATAACAAGTATCACAAGTACCAAATCGTCTTCAATATGGTACAGTACATATGTGGTTAGCATAAAAGTCAAGAAAACGAAAACTGAAATCAAAATTGTTAGTTTTAGTTACACCTTAAATTATGTTATGTTATGTAAACCTATACCGGGGTAAGTCGTTCCGACGGTAATAACTTTGTAAGGGAAAGACATAGCAATAGATGTGAAGTGCGCCGTTAAAGCATCAGGTAACGCACTGCGCCGTCAGCCATTTTAGTTACTCCGGCGACGAAGGTGTGCACGTAGCTGTCAAAACGTCACGTAAGTAATTTTTTTCGTGCTTAAACTATTTGGTCTATCTATGTGTATTATGGACCGATTCATACGTAACTTTCCGAAATTGTAGTGATATTGGTAAGGTATGTTATCGCATAAGTATTTTTATAATTTATTATATTAGTTTGCCAGTATGTCAGTCTTCGTATATAAACGTAATTTGGGGTAATAAGTTCCTTCCTGACGGGGCTGGTTGTTCCCTGGAAAAACTTACCCCAATTTACCTTCATCGTATACCTAAAATACTTTAGACCATTTTTTTCATTTTAAGGATGCGAAATTACAAGCATAAGACAGAGGAAGGTAAACCCTCCGAGACTTTTTCGAGATTCTTTTAAATTATGGCAAGAGAACCTGAAATTTGCTGGACCTGACCGTTTCACTGGATATAAGAAAAAATCTATTTTAACTGAAATGCCAGACAAAATGCGTTAGTCGAAGAACAGACAAAGAAGAAGACAAAAAAGAATGAAGACATTGCAAAGAAAGAATAAGGAAAAAACAAACAAAATAGTAAAGGAAAAGATAAAACCAACGGGAAAGGGAAGGGAAAATCTCAAGGAAAAGCTAAACGAAGAGTGTTACAAGAAAACGAGACTGACATGTTAGCACGATCTAGAATGATACGGCATAATTTGTTGTGATGAATATTCAAATTTTCGTCCAAGACAACAATGGATAGAATATATCATGTGTAAAAATTGGGCTCGTATCAAATGTTTAGAGGCGTACTTATGTGTGTCCCAACTGTGAGTCAGATGAAGAAATGAGTGTCGAATAAGATTCCTGATGAAAAAGAATGGAGATTGACAAATTTAATTACACCTGATTAAAGTAAGACTGATGATTCATAATTTAAACAAATAAAAATAAGTTTATTTGGAGATTATGTTTTGTTGTTTCTTGAAGTCAAGTTATGATGACATCTGATAAGATTTATAAGTTGATAGATCTCCATTATATGTTAACTAAGTAAAGAAACGTTTATCTGGAGCTCACCATTTAGGATTTGTTGTTTTTTAAAGTTACAAAAAGTTTATCTGGACCAGTAATGTTTTGTACCAGTAATAGTTTGTTGTTTTTTTAAGTTTATTTTTGCATAACTTAAACATTACATCATAAATATATAGAAATGGTTGTTTTATTTTATAAAACCTATGTTATTCGGACAGATTATTGTTATAATCTAAGTGGCACAATTTGCCCCAACGATGGAACAAATCGCCCCAAAGCGGGTCTGAATGTTCCGCTCCGAAATTTGACAAAAAATAGCTTCTGTAAAAAAAACTATTTAGATATTAGTATAAATGACTATAATATTACAAAAACCAATAAACATCCATTCAATATTTGCACATGTTAAAAATGAATTCCTTCATTTTTATAATAAAATTTCATGTTATTTGAAAATCGGAACTTCCAACCCCGCTTTCCCCTACATATGTGTACAGGTTAAACACATACCACCACCATCCTATAGGCTTTGCCGCAGTCTGGTAATTAAAGTACTTACGCTACGTTTTAATCAAAATATAATTACTTGAACTATATTAAAAGTTATGTAAATACAATTTTTCTGTCTGTCTGCACGTTTCGAAACGATTAAAAGGACTTTCACGGGGAAAGACATACCAACTCGTAGACTACCTATAATAAAGACTGTGTATGACTTTTTAATTTAATTTCTATCGATTATGAAGATAATCTTAATTTTAGACTACTTGTGTCCCGGGTAAAGAAAGTTTTCCCTTGGAATAGAAAATAGAACACTAGTTCGGCTATTTTATCGACACGTTCACTATAGAGAATTTTCATGAGAGTGATATAACCATATCACTATATTTTTATATCACGCTAGCGAAAGCTAAGTAATAGTGTGATTTTACATATCTAATAATTAAATGAAAATATACCATAATAAATAAATAACAAATATTGCGTGTTTTGCCTGAATGTGTCTTGCATTTTCAATTCCTAGTAAATGTCTCACTTTTTTTGAATTTAAAATAGATAATATGTTAATCACTGTTATGTAATGATATGCGTACACGCACGTTACCGTGTGTATATTGTAAACTATCTTTAATTTGTATACATAATTAGATACGATAGTATTTGCAATGTGAGTATTAGTATACCAAATAAAGGCAGTTTCATACATAAGTTTGTGTATTCGTATCTCAGCTCAAACATGTCCACTGCTGGACATAGGTCTCCCCCGAAGATTTCCACGACAACCGGTCTTGTGCCATGCGAATCCAGTGGGCTCGATCGACTTTGATCAAGTCGTCGCTCCACCTTGTGGGAGGCCTGCCCATGCTTAGCCTTCCGGTACGTGGCTGCCACGAGAACTTTTCGTCCCAACGAACGTTCTGCGAGCGATATGCCCCGCCCACTGCCACTTGAGCTTGAAAATTCGGCGGGCTATGTCGGTGACCTTGGTTCTTCTGCGTATCTCCTCATACATAATTCGATCTCGCAGGGAAACTCCGAGCTTAGCCCTCTCCATTGCTCTCAGTGTGACCTTATAAGTTTGTGTATCTAATCATTTTACATGATTAAAAAGAATGGTTTGTTTGTAGGTAAGTCTTGGTATTTTTAACTACAGAACTAAGTACTTGGGCGACAGAGATTCGCTCAACGTTTAAATTTATCTTTTTTTCAGAAAAAAATTACAAATTCTGATAAAAACGCAGTTTTTATATATCTTATATGTTGGTAGATAAACTTGAAAAGCAAAACCTAATCTAAGTACAAAATTTTATCTAGATTGTTAGAACAGTTTCAGAGATACACGAAATAAGTTTATATACGAGTAAATATAAGAATTGCACGTTTTATAAAATAAGAAATTGTAGAAAATTGAAGCTGGTACAAGCACCCAGACCCTAAGAAGATTTATAGTTTATACAAATGTTTGTCCATTATCCTAAAGACATTCGAACTAATGACTCAATGTAGTAGTGAATTAGATATGGATATTAACATGTTTAATATTATTATACTACAATTTTATTAATGTTGCTATTAAAATGTTTATTAACTTATACGCAGGTAAAGAGTGCATGTCGCAGTAAGATTAGCCACCATTACCGAATTTCTCTCTAGAAGACGTTTATTTTATTAACTTTTCTCAGAAATGATGACGTACAATTTACAATTCTAAAAGGATTGATAGGTTTCACATATGTAAAAAAATAATATATTTCCTTACTGAAAAATCTTGCACTTTGGATTGGCTGCAAAAAAGAATAAAGCGTAGTACCTACTAAAATAATTTTTATTGTATTTGCAGACGGGTATGTCCGCAACTGCACGCCGCCGGCCATCGATGACTTCCCGGCAGGAGTGTTCACGGAGCTGCAGCGGCAGCACGGCGCCATCGTACTGCACGCTTTCATCTCCATCTATCTCTTCGTAGCACTCGCGGTTGTGTGTGACAAGTTCTTCGTACCCGCTGTTGATAGGATATGCACGGGTGATATGATCTAATTAAAATAAATTTATATGCAAAATATGTTCTTTAATGAAATATAAAATGTGTTCTTTAATGTGTAGTTTGAAATTATTTTATTTAATTTATTCAATTTTATCAGTCAATTGTAAGGTTTTCATATAAAACAAAATATTCAAAATTTTAGGACAATAAATAAACATCTTACGTTATATATTTTTTTAAATAAGTAAGAAAATTAAACATAAAAGCTTATCATCATATTCATTTCTTTTCCAGCTTTAAACATGACAAACGATGTGGCTGGCGCTACTTTTATGGCAGCTGCCACGTCAGCGCCAGAACTGTTTGTGAATGTGATCGGGACGTTCATAACAGAGGGCGATATAGGAGTTGGAACCATCGTGGGATCAGCCGTCTTCAACATCCTCGCTGTTGCTGCCTGCTGTGGTATAGGCGCTGGGATGGTAGGATCAAATAGTTTTTTGGAATTGTTTTTAGGGTTCCGTACTTCAAAAGGAATAAAGGGAACCTATATAGGATCACTTCGTAGTCCGTCTTTTTCTCAGGAACGCGTGGAGGTATTATGTTGAGATCAATATCGAATATTCAGGTTTGCAATCCTTTAGAGCTATGAAAAAATCAACTTTATAAGTCCATGCAATTAGAAGATACGAAAGATATCCATATTTTAACATTCGCAAGGGAATCAAAACCTATAGGACACTTCCCGTTGCTTAGAAAAGTGTTTAACAAGAAGTAATGTCTTATAGCACAAGTAAAAGAACAAAATCCGTAAACCGTAAATTATGAAAAAAAGATTATGAACTATGATTGATTATATAATTAATAAATATTTTAATGTTTCATGCTACGAAACCCTCCATATAAGAGTCAGACTCGCATTTGTCCGATTTTTGTAATATATATTTTTTTTTTTTATAATTGAGCAAGTTATCGATAATTTTTTACTATTTTAAAGTTGACTGTACGTAATTTTTGCTTCGTATTATTACTGAATATTTTTACTTTTCCTTGGCTGTATTGACTATTTAGTGAAACAGAATTATCGTAACTGTACTTACGATACAATTAAATTGATGCATAACACTGGACGTTAGTGCAACTAACGCTTGAATGATTAATAAAAATTAATAAAGGTCTACAAAATTAAATATTAAGAAGTCCTTATTTCTTTCATTAAAATGATCAGTTAATTATTGTAATGTTTCAGGTAGTACCTCTTGACTGGTGGCCTTTAACAAGAGATTGCCTCGCTTACGGCATAACTGTTTCTATACTTATTTGTATAATGCACGATGAGTACGTGCAATGGTATGAGGCTTTCCTGCTGGTAATGCTTTATGGTGTATACATCTGCATCATGTATTATGATAAGTCCATTCAAAATTTTGCCAAAGGTGAGCTCTTCTAAATATTATGATGAATCATTGGAACAGATGCATAATTTTTAATAGTATTAATTTTATTTAAAAAAATTCATTTGTTAAAATACAGGAAGTTGGACATGTGTCTCAAATATGATAAAGAAAGACAATGAAAAACAAGACTCAGCCCTACCAATTGACAATGGTTTGTATTTGATTAATAAATATGTTCCCGTCTAAAAATTATCTTTTATCTATACATAATTAATAAAATTGTAACTTAGTCGAATCTGTACATTTTAAATGTTTTTTTGTTGGAAAATCTTATTGAAATAAACATTATTATGGATACAGAGGCCGAATCCATAGTTTTCAGATTTTTTGCCTGTCTGTCTATAATAATTTACCCACCACGAGAAACCACTGAACAGATTTTGATGAAATTTGGTATGATCATAGCTGGTTATCCGAGTCAACATATAGGATACTTTTTACTGCGGGAAAATATTTGGTCTCTGAGAAACCTATACTAACCGTTAAAACGTAGCCAGGGGCGCGAACCCAAGCGAAGCGAGAGTGAGTTGCTAGTAAATGAATAAATTTATTTTACTTAGAAAGATTAATTAGAGATTTATTTTATACCTAAAAGGTAAACCATATAGGTATACTAAACTGGAATTTATATAAAAAGAATCTGTAAAACCGACTCACCATTATTGGTAAAGAATAAAGATGGTGATTTTTGATTTGACGGTAAATAATATTAATTTGTTTGACATAGTTAAATGATTTGTGATCTCAAAATTATAAATATTGTACATTTAAGAATTGAATTAAAAATATTAATGAAAGATATAATAATTAAAATAAATTCTTTTATAAAATTACAGAAAACAAAGAGGCTAAAACACAATCTTCAGATCACCACCAACATAATGGTAATGTCAAAAGTGTGCTTTATTCAGATATCAATGAAAAGAAAGTTGCTTCTCTTCAGATAGAAAAAATTAACAATGATGATGACAAGATAGTGAATGAGGAAAACGAACCTAAACCTAATGATATGGAAATAGCTTACCAGGAAGACTCACACCAAGGAAATGTGGAAGAAGGAAGTAAGGAGACTTCAGATGAATACCATCATTCTCTCTGGAAGTGGCCTTCTGGAAGAAGTAAACTTACAAAGGTAACATTAAATTTCGTACAAACGTTATCACTATAGCAAGATAGGTGTTGCTCAATTCAATAATTCATTTTTTATTGTTTCAGACGACATGGATTGTTACGTGGCCTATCCACTTGGTATTTCTTTTCACAATTCCAGATTGTGAAAAACCACGTTTCAAGAATTGGTTTCCTTTAACTTTTATGATGTGTATTGTTTGGATAGGATCGCTGTCTTACATTGTCGCTTGGATGATAACTATAATTGGTATGTCGCTAATATACCAATTTTTAATAGTTTTAATTGTATAAGTTAAAGCCGCTTATTATACATATGTTACCTGCAGGTGACACACTCATGATACCAGATTCTGTAATGGGCATTACATTCCTAGCTGCCGGAACGTCAGTACCTGAAGCAGTTTCTAGCGTGATAGTTGCCAAGCAAGGTAAAATATTTGTTCTTTATTTAAAATATTGTGTAAAAAATTACTAAGTATTTCATGATTTCAGGACACGGATCAATGGGTATCAGCAATTCAATAGGATCGAACACTTTCGACATACTTCTTTGTCTTGGACTACCGTGGCTCATCAAAGCTTCGTTGACACCAGCCGAGCCAGGCAACTACTGGGTTAGAAATCTATTATAAACAATTTTAGTATTTTAAAGCGAATTTGCTCAGCGAATATTTAAGCGACTTTTGATGCCAAGCGATTTGGGCCCGTTATTTGAATATGTATAATCACTCTACAAGCAACTGCTATAGCAACCTTAATCCATGAGATTATTATTGATATTGTTTCAATGTTTTAAGTATACTTAATTAATACATAATATTAAAGATTTTTGTCTTAGGTGGAAAACTTAAGAGTGATCTTCATAATCAAATATTTTTAAATCTTTTTGTGTTTGGCTTTGCGTCTACTAATATTGTTTTTTTTTTATTTTATTTGCTGTAACTTTACGTTTTCTTAATAGGTGAAGATTAATTCCATGGGTCTTGAGTATTCTGCGATATCACTATTGTCAACTCTTCTGTTGCTGTATTTGACTTTCTGGTTCAACAAGTTTAAGCTTGACGCCGCAGTGGGAAGAGCGTGTCTGGCGATGTACGCAATGTTCTTGGTGCTAGCAACTCTCATCGAGTTAAATGTTTTCTTCCCGGTGAACGTTCGCACTTGCAGGAGAACCGACCTCAAGTCTTAAATAATACAACATAGCAGTGATCTGAGTCTATCCACCATGGTATTACAGATACAGAGAGTGTCAGCTTTCGTACACGATGATGCCCATAAACCAGATAACTATAATTATTTTGTAAAGTGATTTAATGCAATAAATTATGAGATCTAAAGCCAAAATCAATAAAATAAGGTTCATCGAAGACATTAAAATTCAAGCTTTTTGTGAACAAAAAAAGTAGATTTATAGGATTTTTTTATTATTATTGTGGATTAATAACATTTTGTAATTTTTTTAGAGTTTACTAATTAAATATAACATTATGATATCAAATTTGTTTGAGAACAAAGACACAAATTTCAGTTTTAAAAAAATAATATTAATGCAAATTGCCTTTTTACTTACTTTCATAATTAATTCTGATTTAGAGATACAGTTTGAAGTCAGACATTTGTTTTGTAAATAAATACGTACAATGTAATGTATCAGGTTTTAAGAAATATTAAATATATAGATTTTTATTTTCTGCTCTTTTTTAATGTTCCTTGATATTATCACAAGCATTTGTATATGCCTACATAGCCGGCTTATAGTACAAATATTTTACATATTTACTTTATATATTATTGGTTGTATGTTTATTTATTTAGTTATTTATTGAGTATCCATTAACCTACATGATATAACCTATATGATAGATAGTAACTAAGAAGGGTAATAATACAGTATTGTTTAGTAGACGTAATGCATTAAATCAAAGGTTATGAGCAGTGGCGTAGCTATACCAATGAAACCAATGCGATCGCATGGGGCTCTTAATTCAAAGGGGCCCCAGCGGGCCACAAACGATTCTTGTATTTTAAAGCATTTATCGAGGACCTCATAGAAGTTTAAAAAAAGCAAGAAAAAAGTTTCCTAAATTTCCGCATATTATTTCTTACGTGAATCACGAGAAATGTGATCATACATAAGTTCTATAAATTTTTTTTACTAAATTTTACTCTACCCTTCCCGTGAGAGCAGTTTAAAAAAAGTTAGAAGTTCAAATACTGTCTCTATCTGTGGACCGTATTCTTTTTTAAAATAGGCAAACGGCGGCACTTGTTTTTTCTTTTTGCATTGGGACCCAAAAAGGCTAGTTACGCCACTTTTCATGAGTCTTTCCTACAAAAGGTTTACTCATAGCATATGTGCTGTAATACAAGTTTCTCTCAATTAAGTGATTTAAGATAAAAGCTAAGCTTTAGAATCTCTCATCGAAAGGATGATCATAACAAAGAATGTTAAATAATATTTTATTAAAAAAAATTATAAACGTAGAACGTTGATATTCTACTATTACTAAGACCTACTAATTGATACAACAGCTAGATAACGTGACAATAAATTGCCTCTATTAGTCAGTAATAAATGAGATTTCTATTAGTAAAGAAACTTTTAAAATCTGTTTAGTACTTTGAAATACTCTCATCTATATATTATGTAAGCACACAGATTACCATCACGTACGATTCTGGGAGTTGAACCTTCTTTCTTTATCGCTGGGAAAACCCATCTTGGAGTAACTCGGGTTCGTCAGATGGACCGCGTAAATCAGCGTGGTACTGTAAAACTCTTACCCAGACTCACTTAAGACTACAACATTGTATAAATCCGACTGTGGAACGTTGTAGGATCGTTTGAACTACAACATTCTGTGAACAGTTTCGAACCGCTTCGTCTAAATTAATATAGTCGTACTCGGGATTCATGCAGCATCGAGCATCTTGAAGGAGGGTCATCGAGAGGTCCGACCGGAAGCTGTTGCTCCTCTAGGTACGCGGGAGAAGATACTTTTTTCTCTTTTTTTAACGCTGCATACATACAGTTGATTATGTGGAGACTCGACAGCAATAAAAGCCAGTACTAACCAACATTCTCCGACTTAATATTCAGGATCAATTACGTATTTAACCACGACGCACTGAAGCTAAGCAATCGAAATAGACTCCCGAGCGATAAAGCCGCTCGCGATTTATCCCTTTGCTTGGCCTTAGGGGTAATTTTTAAAGGCCCTATTAGGGGTAATCTTTTTAAAGAGGTTGTGTTCATCATCGTCCACAACAACCAAGAGGTTGCTCTCCCTTCCTGTCCGCCCATCCAGATGAGAAAACGGAGAAAAGAAAAATTGTATAAATAAAAAAATAAATATATACCCACATGATAATAGAGACTTGAAAATTAGTTATAGAATTTAAAATGACACGACCTTACGTGTAACCAGTCACAGAACTACAGAATCTATTTTCCTTTTTAATCTTTATTTTATTTTTAGTATTATATAATTTATACAGATTAATAAAATTGAAGTGTCTGATTTGAATGTCAAAATAACAGCTTTTTACCAAATGAATATGAAACTACGTTCGGTACTTAGAAAAAAACCCTTTTAAAAAAATTGACTGTCTATCTGTCTGTCTGTTCTTCCGTTTGTTCCGGCTTATTTACAAAACGGCTGATTGACGGACTAATTTTGACGGGACTTTCACTGGCACAGAGCTGATGTTATAAAGAGTAACTTAGACTACTTTTATTTTAGACAAAGAAATACGGTTCCGCTAAAAAAGTTTACCTAGGGACGAACCCGACCCGAGCGAAACGAGGGTATGTCGCTAGTTATTATTAATGATGTTAAGTATATAACAATTACTATTGCCTTATTTTTTAAAAAGCATATTATTATTTAACATTTTGTTTGTTGTCTACGTAGGTATATCTCGCAAAAACCTTTTTAACAAGCTATAAATTCGCAACAAGTTATAAATTGTGTATTGCAATAAATTGATGGGTTTGATTTAATATAAACTTGGTTTTCTTATTTTTAAAGCTTTTATTTAAAAGCTTTTTGTTAATGTTTTTTATGTTAATTTATTTTATATTCGTATTCTTCTAAACAAACCCTTTCATTTGATATCCATATCATGGAGGCGCATAAAAAAGCATAGACTGCCATCTTTGGGAGTCCGCCATATTGGATTTAAAATAACATCACTTAGCTAACCATATATTGTCATCCAAACTAAACATGTATGCAAAATTTTAGCTCAATCAGATGAGGATAACTGCTTTAAAATTCAGTTGCAAAATTTGACCCGAATAAACAAACATTACAAGATAAATAAAAACTTATAAATAAAATACGCTCGAGTTAGTTAACGAAGAATATAATGTTTTATCCGACTTAAGAATTATATATTTAATACGCAATATTAGATTTACATTTTACAAATTCTCTTATTATTGTTGAACACCTCCAAGCTAGCAATATAAACCCATGGTAATGTAATGTAAATATTCACGACAGAATACTATTCAACTTCTAAGTTTTCGAAATAATATCGCCAACTGCTTGAAGCAGTTTTCCAATAGATTATTTTATAAAATAACTTAGAAAATAATACTTATGCCAACGTCTATACAATCCTACGGTTCATACATTCGGTTAATTTTTTCAACAAAACTAGAGTAGCAGATTGGATTTCAACATATCACAACGGCATAGTCATTTAGCAGATTTACTATAGACTTATAAACATGTATATCTATTATCTACTAAGAAAAGATTTCCGCGGTTTATAATGGAATTCCAATTAAGTCCATTTGCATATGCCTTAATATACCCCTCTTGTCTTTTTCTTATATATCCCATGTAAAAATCACACCTTTAAAATAAAAATTTCAGAGTGTATGTTATTTTGACAGATATCTTAAAAATTATAAAAAAACAAAATAAATAACTTAGGGAAATCCTTCTCATGTTAGAAGGTTTTTGTAGGGTTCCTTTTCGTTTTGCTCTATTGATGGATGGCGTGGCGTTATCACCAAGAGTTAATCTTAGCATGACTTCAAATGACACAATAAAATTGTCAAATAATAATAAAAATTGATCAAGTACGAGGTACGCTCAGAATCTGCTTTTATATAATAATAATAATAAATATGTTAGGACATTAATACACAGAAAAATCTAGTTCCATGGTAAGCTACGAGGCCTGTGTTATGGATACCACACTCGTGCTGATCACACAAATGAATTCCCCCAGCGGGACTCGAACCCGCGACCGCTGGCACAGCAAGTAGGGTCACTACAAACTGAGCCAAAGGTGTCGTCAATATATATAAATATTTTTTTGTGGTGGTACAAAATGTGTTTCTTTGTTTTTGAAAAGACCGGTATGTGTGTGTCTTAGTCGCACAAATCTATCTTTTCTTTATTTAATTGAAATAGATTTATAGTTATGTCATATTATTTTATCGTTTTTATGTACTTTTAGGGACAAAATGAATATTTCCTTATCCAGTATTTTATTAAAATATATTAAATCTAATTAAACATACATTTACATATAGTACATTAAAATTGAAGGAAGTAAAACACTAAGAAATTAAAAACTAACTAAAATTGTTGTTGTTTCTTTGCGTTAGAAAATCTGTCTCGATACTGTTGTCATCTATCGACTTCTGAAAATATATTTTAAGGTACATGAGAATTTGTTTATTCAACTATCATAATTTAATTTTTATAAGCACTACAAGCTATTATACTTAATATATTTTCTTTTTGTATGTAATCAGTCGGTAATTGATGTTTATTGCCGGATTACTTAGTTAATTTTTTATGTAAACTTTGCCACCAAATTTTACTGCGAGAACTTACAACCTAAATTTTTTTTGTTACCTGCCTATATTTGTATAGATTGCCTTTAATAATATATTACTACCATATATACAGAAGTACCTAAACAATATTATTTACCGTATATTCAGAGTTAAGCCTTAATCTTTCCACCTCTCTCGCATGTAGCTCAATATCATGCTGTGTAAGGCGAGGGCGACGACAATGCACGCTTTGAGGCGGTAACCAGCGATGGATCACTGGTGTAATGAGATCACGATGCACCTAATTTATATTTAAAAAAAAATCAATTAAATATGTAAATCCGCCAAGAAATAACAATTATTTAACTTACTTACCATAGTAGGATCGTTGGGCGTCGTAAAATAAGAAACGATAGCACCAGTAACTGTGCACACAAACATTCCTATAAATGTGTAGTACAGGTAGCTAACTCTGTACAAGAAGAATGTGCCAGATCTGTTGGGAATAAGATATTTATATTTAATAATATTTTTAAACAAAACATTCAATTAAATCATCCATTTTGACTTGGAAAAAGTTGACATATGATAAATAATGCAAATCTGTAATATATATAATATAATTGTATAATAGTTGTTTATTTATATATTGATTTGTGTATGTGGTTAAGAATAGAACCCATAAACATACCTATCGAATTCTATATTGTGGCTGGAGGAGGAAGAGAAGGTGTAGTTTCCAGTACACCCAGACACATCTATTGGTTTAGGAACTACCACAATTTCCCCTTTGATCATAGCCGCTTGTGTACCAATCGAAATCCATCCAACTAGCAGTGTAGATGTTAAACCGCCAACTAAAGCACCCTGTTAATAATTTAAAAGTAATCATTTTAAATATAAAATTGAGGTATTAATTAACCTTTAAATAAATATTTAATTATATTTGAATACCCACAGTAGCATTGATCCATGGTAAAAATAGTCCCATGGTAAATAATCCTAGCAGGCTTCCGGCAGTTATTCCAGCTAAGCTCTTACCGGCTTGTATCAAAGCTCCCATATGTTCTACTAAGAACACGAGTCCGACGCATATCACTCCTTATGAAATAAAAAATATATTGATACTGAAACTGGTTGTATGATCTATGATAAGCAGTTATATCTATTATTTTCAGATTAACTAAAAGTAGAAGTAAAACGAAAAGTTTAAATTGTAGAATAGTATATTCTAATTTTTTAATTTCATGATTCGTTATAATAATAAGCACACGGAACCTGATTTTTCGTTATATATTTCCGACGTAAACATATATTTTTTACTATCTAGTTTTGCTTTCTGTGTGTGAGTGTGATAAGGATAATTATAATACAGAAGACCTTAACTTATTTATTATTAATATATTTTTTATTTTATATACTTTTATATACTCTATTTTAATGTTGAAGCTTAGCAAAAAATTGTTATATATTTTATCAACTGCTACAATCTCTACATAAGAAACTTTCATTAATAAAAATTAAAAAATAAATGAAAACCGACTTCAAAACACTAAAAAGTAAAAAATAACTGAATGGCAGTTTTCATTTACTATAGATATCTAATCAGATATTTTCGAAGTCGGTGCCAGCCGTTGCAAATCAAAGCAAAGCTTACATCACAAATTTATGTATCATATTTGCAACTATAATGAAAGTTCTTACTAGATATCCATATATTAAAGCGTTGTTGGCTTTCAATCAAGCCTTAGTTATATAAACATTACCTACCTATTATCATAACAATCATTTTCATTATAAAACTAGCAGTCCTCTCTGATATGGGTTTGTTGTATGCTGGTCTGATCAAATCCTCGAATATTACTCCACACATAGAGTTCAAGCCTGTTGACATTGAACTGTAAAAATTGATAATTATCTTACTTTAACTATTAGCGTGATGACGTTACACATATGGGTGATGATTATTATTTATAAAACATATTATTACTCGTACTTCGACATAAATTCCAAATTGGTACAAATTACAGGGCGTACGTAAAAGTTTAATTTTTTTATATATATATATATATATATATATATATATATATATATATATATATACAAGCTCAGTATGAAGGTAAAAATAATAACCGAAATGTTGATGTGTTTATTTTTCGTAACTTTAACATTATAAATAAAGTCAGTTTTCTCTCCAATACTGTAACGTACCTTAGAGCAGCGCTAAATACTCCACTCATGAAGATTCCCGGCAACGCTGGTATGGACCCTGTGATAGTCATCACAAAGTATGGCAGCAACTGATCACTCTTCCGAATAGCTCCAGTGCTGAGAGGGTCACAGGTTGCAAACGTCGCGTATATGACAAGACCAGTATAACAACAGAGGGACACGATAATGAAAATTCCTGCTGCCATCACAAAAATTGTTCTGAAACATGAATAAATACCAATTTTGAAGATTCTTTCTCACTAAGTTATTATATAATGATCTTATCTAAGTTACAATTACGTCAGGTAACAATATATTCTAAAACTGAAGTTTGTTTGCAACTTATTATTTCAGGAATTTGAATACGATTTTTTTTTATTTGTATGGAATTCTAAATAATTCATCCGATTGTGATAAAACTTTACCAAGTTGTTCTGCATACGGGCGCAAAAAATTATGACTTGGTCTATCTAGGATGGTATTTATTTGTCTAAAGTAGTATTATAAGTTTATTATTATTATTAATAATAATTACATTCTAGCTCTTCGTAATGAGGAAAGTGCTAAACAACGTTGTATCATGGCTTGGTTCACTGAACACGAGGCTAGCCAGCTGAAGTAGTTTCCAACCACTGTAGTCCAAAAAGTATGACGAATCGTAGGGTCCATATCCATTCTATGAAAAAAACATTTTAGTTTATTGTATAAGAAGTCAAATTTTGTATTCAAATCCAAAAGCGTACTCTATTTATTTTAAATATTAATAATCTGTTAATAAATTAAATAATTTTATTTTTTAAATTATATTAACAACCATAAGCTTACATAAAGAAATCCAGACGATCTCCTTCTCGGTTGATTCTTATTACTTCTGTAATACCTCCTAGTCGACACGTTCCGTAAACCAGGACAAATATGACACCAAAGTACATTAGTATTGTTTGTAAAGCGTCAGTCCACACGACAGCCTTAAGGCCACCCTGGAAATAATCTAAGTTAATATTAAATAAACTAAAAGATTATATTTTCTAACATATATTCTTTTAATAAGTATGCTTTATTTCTTAAAAATACTACTAACTTTACACTCAGTAGCCATTGTAGGCCTATATTCTCGCGGGTGCGTAAAGTACACACCGATATTACACACATCATTATGTGAACGTAATGTAATAAACTGGAAAAAGAACCTGTGACAAGCAGGTAGTTTTAGACATTACTGTGTTCAAATAAACTGAAAAATCTTTTATAATATACATATAGATTATTATTATATTACTAATATAATATTAGTATGTATGTACAATGTAGGTATATAGCTCTACGAAAGACGCCTACGACATGTAGAGTACCATCGTTACCATCGAACACCATAAAAGCATTTAAGTAAGGTCCTTTTATTCGCACAATAGCAACACAATGTCAATGGCGATCTCTGTTTAAGTGCACAATAGGTCTATTTCGAATATAGTACTGATTTAGACGGCCCCATTCTACGTCCAAGTCACATTAGGGTCATGCTGAAATATACTTACCAGAGTCGTGTAGAATATACACACAATGCAAACGATTGGTGTTATCATATGTAGATTTATGCCGGTAACTGTAAAAAATGATATTTATAATTAATTCAACTAATCCATACTAATATTAAAATGTAAAAGTTTGTGAGGATGAATGAATGGGTGGATGTTTGTTACACTTTAACGCCAGAACGGTTGAACGGATAAAATTTGGCACAGGGATAGATTATAGTTTGGAATAGCAAATAGGTTACTTTTTATCCCGGAAAAACGTACAATTCTCGTGGGATGGATTTATTTTTGTTTAAGGACGAACCCAAAGTGAAGCGAGGGTGAGTCGCGAGTTCATTATAATCATGTATGTATTCCATTATCAGCATTACATTTTACATTTTTAAATAGCATTATAGAGTACGTAGTACCGCAAAGGCCATTAAAATATTACTATTATCCCATATGTTCACGTTAGTTATAAATGAAATTTCATTTTAAGCCGATTAAGCTGACGTGTGTTTTTAACAAGCATTCTATCCCGGCTTTCACTGTGTTATTTTTTTATGTTACATTCAAAGAGATTAAACAATTTGGTTTTCTATTCATTCCTTATTTCATAGGCAATAATATAATGTAATATGTTGGCACATATTGCACTACAGCACTATCTAGTTTCATGGTGAGCTACGAGGCTTAAGTTGTGGATACCAGATAGTTGATACACTACACATATATAACTTTAAATACATACATATTATAAATATAAACACCCATGACTGAAGCAAAATCATTCGTGCTCATCACACAAATGAATCAATGCCCTCAGCGCAACTCAAACCCGCGACCGCTGGCACAGCAAGTAGGGTCACTGAAAACGTGTCGTCTAGCCTGATAATAAACTGCTAACTAATTAAATAACATGCAGCTTGGCGAATAAATAATAACCAAATTTTACCCCAGACTCCCCCCCCCTAACGTGCGTTCACCTTGACGTGGTGGGTGGTCTCATTAGAGTCCGGCCGTTCTGCCGGGCGCGAAGCCAAGAAACGCACAGGGAGGTGGCGGTGGGAGGTGGCCCACTTCGGTGGGCGGTGTACCGTGAGGGTTGCTCCTGGTACTACGTTGTTGTGCTCTGCTTCGGCAGATCTGCCGTCAGGCTGTCGTGGTTGAGTGCATAAGCGATCTTGTGACGCCCCATTAAGACGGAGGAGGTTCCGTTGGGTTTTAGTGGGTAGTACTGGCTTTCACATAGATTCAAGGAGCAGGACGGGATTCAACATTAACAATTATACAATCATACATCTTATTTACTAATTTCATTATTTAAAAATATTTTTATATACGAGTATGTAATAAGAATAATAACAACAAGATCTACATACCTTGACTAAAGGCTAAAGCTGGTACGTATATTACGATCGGTATATATAGAAGCATCTTAATTATAAATATTATAGAGCCCAGTAACCGGACGTTTTGATTGAACCGCAACCGCAAGTACTAAAAAAACATAAGATAATGAAAAAAGTTAATATGAATCAAAATCTCAAACTTGAGAGGGTATGTTTTTTTTAAATTGGTAATATTTATGTATGTATGTATTCAGCTCTTTTTAACGTCCCACTGCTGGGCTAGGGCCTCCCTCCAATACGAAAGAGGATCAGGCCATAGTCCACCATGCTGGCAAATTGCAGGTTGGCGGACTTCACATGTCTTTTTGAAAACTTGCTAGCTTCTCTCAGAAATGCAGGTTTCCTCACGATGTTTTTCATTCACCGTTAAGACAAGTGGTAATCATGTTGGAAATGATTCGCACATGAAAATATCAGAGGTGCGAGACCCGGGTTTGAACTCGCTTCACTCGGTTTCCCAAGCGAGCGCGTTACCACTGGGCTACCACTGCCTTTTGTAATATTTATATTGTTTGAAAAATAAAGAAATAGCCATCCTTATCTCAACTACCAATGCAAGGTACAGTGGTCAAAATGAATCATCTCGCATCTTGTTTCTAGACTTCAAAATTACTTGATTCTAAAAATAGCATGTGCTGTGTAGGTAGGCGGAATATGACAAAATTGAGGTCTTTGACGCATTTTAGTCATCTTTGTCGAAAAAGTAGTTTAGCACTTTAAAAATAATAATTATATAATTTTTTTTATGTAGCTAACTATTCCTTTAAGCTCGATCTACGATATAAAATAATCATTTCATTGCCTTTGAGCTACTATAAGTGTAAATGATAAGTAAGCCGTTACCAAAGCATTTTTGTTAATCATGTTAATCTTGAAGATTTTATATTTTAAATAGTGCTAAAAATATGTTGAGATAAGGATGAAATTCGAGGTTTTTTTAATAAATATATTTTATATATATGTGTGTGTGTGTCTATATTGCGTCATTGTCTGTGGGATATAAGAGGCCCAACCTATTTTCTCCTTCTTTTTCTTTCTTTGCCCCTGACATGGTAACGCGCAGATGATGGTGATGTAGCGTGAACGTACAAACATAGATTAAGATTACTACTTGTAATTCAACAGATCTTATGCTTTTTTGGCAAATTTTGTGGTATAAAAAAATATATCTTACTTCGTAAGTAGAAGTTATTTGCAAGTTGTAGAATACTGGTAAGTACACAGCGGAGATAGTAAACGATACTATCCACTCCGACAGTACGATAGTCCAGAGTTGGGTACCGTATGTATACATCTCAGCTGGCAAGCCCAGTAGAGAAATTCCTGATACGTAGCTGAAAAAATATTATATTTCTTTTGTACATTATGTATATATAAATACTTTTAAAATTCTATTTAAATTGTATTATTTTGTGGAATTGGAAAAATAGATTGTTGGGTCATATTTATTCGTTGTATTTATTAAGGTTTAATTTTATGGCAGGGTTTATGAAATTCCCCCCCAACGTGCGTTCACCTTGTCGTGGTGGGGGGGCTCAGTAGTAGTAGCGAAGCTAAGAAACGCACAGGGAGGTTGCCCACTTCGGTGGGCGGTGGGAGGTGGCCCTCTTCGGGGGGCGGTGTACCTTGCGGGTTGCTCCTGGTACTTCTCTGATAGCAGAGTGGACCTTGGAGCAACCCCATGGTTGTGGTGGTCTGCTTTGGCAGACCTGCCGTCGGGGCGTCGTAGTTGAATGCGTAAGCGATCCTGCGACGCCCCATTAAGACGGGGGAAGGTTTGTTGGGTTTTAGTGGGTAGTACTGGCTGTATTACGCCGGTGAGTCCCACACGTCGTGCGTAAATGCATTTCCCAACGTTAAAAAAAAAAAAAAAAGGGTTTATGAAATTGTAAAACTAAATTGTAAACAATTTCTAAGCATAATGTTTATATATTTGTAAGCTTAAGTATTTTTTTTCAAAGATACTAATTAAATAGTTCAACAATGACTGTATGCTTGGGAATTATAGTTTTAAAATTTCAGTACTTTGTAAGATAGTGTGAGTAGTGTGCCTAAGGGTAATTAAGCTGGGGCGAGGGACGCAGATAAAGACAAGATGTCCGGTTGTACTTGTACGATGTTAAAAGATTATTCCGAGACGACGCGACGGTCGATGTAAGACAGACCTCTGTTCACCTATAAAGATATTATACATTTATAATAATTCCTTGCCCTGTGATTTCTTTTCCTGTATCATAACATGACGATTCTAGGTAAATTATTGTATATTCACTTTTAAAGAAAAAACATAGTGACTCTGCAGAAAGAACATAGTGACTCGTTCAGTTCTTTTAAAAAAAGTGCGATAAGAACAAGACAAAAATATGCGTATATTAGTACTGACAAGTAGTTTTCGATATCCAAACTATGCTACCACTCTTACATAAAACCTCATGTGCTACATACGACCTTCTTATTGTCTCAATGTCAAATTAAATTCTTAAGAATTTGTCCAGTAGTTTTCTCATGATGTAGTCACAGACAGACATACAGACAGAAAATTAATAAATTATACAAGATTATACAGATTTCAGTTAAATTTCACAATATACAATCAAAAAAAAATGTTTGTCGAACTAGAATTGCACTTCACTGGTATCGCATATGATAATTATATACATATGGATGTGGTTTAAAATGTTATAGTGAATACAGATATCAGTCTACAATAGCTAGAGTTTTCTCAAACTTGGTCTAAGGTATAATAACTACTGCATTGTCTATAAGCTACTCTAAGCCTAAATGATAAGAAAAGGAAGGCGATACTAAAGTATTTAATTTTTAATGGTATCGACTAGGTTAGATTTTTCAGAGATAGTAATAATATAATAAAGGTAAACTAAACTAAAATAAACTGTTAGTTTTAAAAGAGATCAAAAAGCAAATAGAAAATTTCACATTAGTTTAATATGAAGACGATTATTTAAACTAATCTAAAAGTCTTCAACGATCTAGATATTACGGGCGATCTTTAAAAACACCTATAAATGTTCAACTTATCTATACATATAATGAAATTCTAATTGAGTCGAAACTCTACATTAAATATTTTTTGGAAAATCTTATTGAAATAATCATTACTATCAATACAGAGGCCGAATCCTATAGTTTTTAGATTTTCTGTCTGTATGTCTGTCTGTGACTACATCATGAGAAAACTACTGGACAGATTTTGATGATATTTGGTATGATGATAGCTGGTTACATATTTAGCTTATAATAATTTTATATAGCATTACTACATGGTGAATTGAAATTTAAATTATAATCTTAATCTCATTTTTAATGTATCATCTAAGAGGATTAGCAAAGTAAATACATCCATTCTAAGATATTTTGTATATTATAAATATATTATAAATTATTTAATAGTAATTCGACATTATCTTTATATCAATATGTTTGCTAATCTTCTATAAAAATAAAAAAAATAATGTTCGTATGTTTGTCCTCCATGCGTTCCTAAATCGAACGATCCGATTCTGATAACACTCCAGTGGGATATTTTGTATACGCCTGCGAAGGTTCCTGGCGCAAATAAAAAATCAATTTTACTTTAAACGTTATTTTTACGTTATTAAAACCTAGAAAAGACCCGAGAGAAGCGAGCGTAAGAAGTCACTAGTACTTCATAGATTTCACTAACAAAGGAACAGATGAAAATCATGCAACAAATCATTTTGGTCAGGTTTAGCATTAATAAGTCACAGTTCAGTTTATTTAGAGATAAGAAAGCTAATATTTGCTTTAAAATGTAAAAATTAGTATATTTTTCTAACCAGGTGCTTAGATGCACTGGGAAGTTTCCTAGATGTTGTCAAGGAATTATACTGGCTTATGAATTGATTGCCGTCCCCACTCGGCCAGTGTGATATTTCATATTGTGACGAACAGATTGTTGCAGGGGCTATAATCAAACCTAACTGAAGCACCGGTTCCATAAATATATCTTGCATTAAAAAAGCATTTTTCACATTCTATTTTTTGTAATTAAGAACTATTTTGCCGTTTCGTTTTAAAGCCAGTTTTTTGTGCATTCCAAGAAGCTTACTATCGAAACTCGCATAAAAATTTGTACACAATTGCATCGATAAATTACAGTTATTTTGACTTTTATCGTAAAATGTTCGGAGATGATAACCGTAATCAACTATGAAAGTTCTCTTACAATTGGACGTACCCACGCTCATTCATTCGCTTGAGGACTTTGATTGACTATAAGGGAGCATGGCTAATTGATTAGGTAAATTTAGTTGGTAGGAATAGAAGTAATCTTCTCAATCGTATTCGACGACATTATTTCTTTTATCTTATACCTACTTTCTACAGATTTTTACCTTTGAAAGCAGCATAATAATTTCATTACAATAAAATTATTATAACGCTAGTTGTTATAATTTCAAATTTACAAATTCGTTTGAAATATAGATTTGGTTTAATAGATTTTGAATATTTGTATTGGAAATATTGTTAATGTACATAATAAACACGTAAAATTTACAAAAAACAGAAAATATGCATTCGCGTAAAATTCGCCAGCATTCATCCTTTGGACATATTATCTAGAGAAAGTGCAACAATATTATATGTAGAAATGAGAAATTAGTCAAAACAAAATCGAGTCACAATACCTGGCTATCAAGGACATAGAGATGGGGAACATGCCCATGGTTTTTCCGCCCATCAGATACTCCGACGTTGTGTTTTGTTTCTTAGGCGCAAAAAAGGCGAAGTATACGCCAATTAATGCTGAAAGGAGCAGCATAGCCCCAAAAACTAAGTAGTCTAACCAATCAAAGTATACAACTGACATTTTGGAGGCGTCCACGTCCGTCGGGCACGCCGCGATAATATCATCTCGGTCAACAGTACCGCGTAACGAGAGGAACTGGGATCAGTACTGTTGCTATATTTATCCTCAGAAGGATCTCGGACAGTCCTATTAGAGGGATGAGGTTCACTAATTTACTATTTACCGGTCTGTCGCGTCTTGAGTCGTCACGCGTACGTAAGTACATTAATCGTAACGTATTTGTAACCTGGAGAGACCTTGGACAAATATATCCATTTCACCCGTTATTTCTAATATTTCAATAATCTAATAAATTAATGTGAATAAAATCCATTCATTGTTAGCAATGCCTACGTGTAGCTGTATTTAGTTAATAGCCACCATAGTAGACGTTCTACGAAAATCTACTAGTTGGCTACGACGTGTAAATAATTACTTTGATAATATGGCTTACTTCTTAATTATAAAGTATAAAAGAAGAAGCTTTTTATAGGTAAAATAAATGTATTATAGCTAGTTCAAATGTTAATTTAGTTAAGTTTTTATATTTATATTAAAAAAAAAACTATAAGACACTAGCAAAATTTGATTTTTGTAGGATATTGTAAGAGATAAAATTGGATTTAAAAGAAATAAAACACGTATATATTGTATGGTGCTTTTATTATTAGTGATACACATTTCTGGCTTATACATTGATTGACATATACTAAATTACGCGTGGTAAAACTTGCAGAGGAATAAAAATTTATCTAATGATATGATTTTTATGATAGTGGAAAAGATCATTGATAGAATTGTGGTAATAAAGAGTTACCAAGCAATATAGTCATATTTAAAGTACGTTACAGTTATGATTACTTCATTATATGATATCGAGATAAGTATTAATTTATAATTATAAAAAAAAATTAACATAATAAAAAGTCTACGCTATAGCTAAAGCTTTTGCGCTTTCGCAGAGAATACTTCTCTATATTAGCATCTACGTATAATTTACCTTTATTTTTTCAGATCATCACTTACTTGCTATTTGTAAACTACAAATATTTTACATAGTGTAACTAGCACTTATGTAAAAATATTAAACACATTTTTCCTAAAACCTATACAAGCAAAATAGTATCAATAAGACAACTACCTAAATCATAATCATTATTAATACACACTTATTATTTTTAACAGATATTGAGACGACTACACTAGTATAGAGGAAAGTAAGTTAGACTTATATTCCAATGGGAAAATAACTACAGTTTATAGAATATATCAGATAAACATACGTATATTATACATTAAATCTGATATAAACGAAAAGAGTTTAACAACTTATAACGCTTTGTACTGTTCCGGTAACCTTTTGTATTACAATGTAATTTACTTTATTATCTATTTTCTATGCACACAATGTGTAAAAGCTCACCTACTAATTGTGATAGGAAGCGTTTGATTATTATGAAAATGTGCCTTAATTTTAAAGTGAATAAGTTAAAATTGAATTGAATTGTGTAATCGCTATGAAAATGAATATAAAACATATTAGTATCAATTATCAATTAAATATTTATTTATAAGTATGTCCTAAATCTATGATACATCTACACTCGTGTCATTATTATAGGACATTTTATCCATCAATGAATAATTCATTACGTATAATATTTTAAGCCAGACCCTACTTATTATAATGCAAGCATTGGGAAGCGGTATTCCACAAATTTTACAATTTCTTATAAAACTAGCTTCCTTAAATAGTATTCAAAGGAATCAATTAGATCTATTATAAAAATCCTATTCGTTTCCCGGTGTTATGCCGCATCCACGCTCTCGTATTCTGGCTTAAAAGTTAAAACAGATCTTGCGCATTCAATATACTTTTAATAAATAATAAATTATAACTAATCATACATAGAAAAAGTTTTTAGCCCGATTTTCAATGAACTAATATCATAATATTTAAAGAATTTTCTCTTTGCATAGAAATTTTCTAAACTACATACATGTGTTGTTACTGTTGAAATTCTAAATGAGAATACTACCAATACTAATTTCTTTATTAAAAATAATTTCATTTATTAAAGCCTAACTTGAACTATAAAAAACTTTATAAAATTCGCATACTTAATTATAAATATCTAAGCTAATTAATATATCTAAGGCCAAAATTACTCTTAAATAAAGACCTAAAATGTCTAACATTCAGTGCTATTTTCGCAAAAGCTATCGAGCACACGTGCGAACCTATCGTGAACGCGGCATTTATTTTCTATATTCTCTACTTTAAGACACCCTAAAATGCACAGTAACGATTGTAACTACAGATTACTCAAACTATATATCTAAACGTTCCATGTACCTCGTGTAGCGACTTTTATTTTTTATAATACATATTTTAATCCTTTGCGGATATTATGATACAATAAGTATACTATAGTGCACATAATATGCTGCTAAATCAACTAAACTACGATTTATACTTTAAAGTTATAAATATAAGAGAAAATTTCCCTTCACCACTTTTATCTTGATTAATACATTTCATATAAATATATTTAACTGGACTATACCATACGTTAAGGCTGTACATTACATCAAACGTGTTGACGTTAAAAATATTATAATTAATAAATGCCTCTACGAAATGTGAAACTAACTAAGTTAGTTCCTGTGTGCTTTGCACTCCGTGGACATTTAGCGTTATTACTACTCCTTATGGCAACATTATAGCACGAACCCTCCTTCATCGTTACGATATATAATAACATATAAACTCAACACATATAATATTTATAAATCACAGCTTCACAAGTCGCTAGTACTCAGCGTCTCCAATACGACTTTGTCATATAGAGGTAACTTACTTACTGTTTTAGATTACTGAGATTCTTATGAATTATGAATTTCACAATCTACTTTATGTAACCTGCAGTGTGATTATGATTGTACACTCACAACAATTACAAATACAATTGTTTGAATGTTTATAAAGTTTTAGCATTAATAAATATATATACAGAATTCATTTATTTTATCAAAAATATTTAAAAAAATATTTTTCATAAAATACAATAATATCTCTTCTATACATATTTATACATATATTTATATTTCCAAGAAATACAAACACCTGCAACACGGTAATGACATTAATATATACCTATATATTGGCTTACACCATAAATATACTCGAGCGTACAATCATTATAATCGAATATTTAATAAGTGTTCAAGTACCATTATCGTTACATAATGTCATTTCACGTGTCTTTTACAAATCAGCTGGAGAAGCCAAATCGAATCTAGACCTACGCCTATCTCGAGTTACAGACAATTGTCCCGAAGACGATCTCTGCAAAGAAGATGAACGAGGTCTGGAATTATCAGATTTGGACTTTTTTACCTTACTACCACCTGATGCTGGCTGTTTCCCTTTCAATGATGATACAGATATAACCACGTCAGTTGATACGCCATCATGTTCTGTCAAATACGAAAATCAGATGTATTTTTATAAATAAATTAATAAAAAAATATAATGATACTAACCTACACGTCTAATCACTTCACCGGCATTATTCAAGAAGAACTTGGGTTTGCTATCCTTAAGTGATTCCTGTGGGGATAAATTTATATGAATGATAATATATAATAAATTAACAATATGAAAATCCTTCTTGAAAAATTGTGAGAAAAAGATCTTACCTTTGATTTACTAGATTTGGAAGCAGAGTCAGTGCTTCCGCGCCACCACGGTCACTGAATCTCACAAAAGCCCCGTCCTGACTCCTTATTGGGAGTAGCCACCTCACCCTCACCGGCATCTTCAGGCTTTGGAGATCCAGCGGCCGATGTTGATGCTCCACTAAATAAAGAAGCAATGTACGTTATAAAAATTAGACTAATCAAAGTTACACTAAAAATATAATGAACAATTGTAGTCATCTGACTCTCATTTAATAGTAAGGAACTAAAACAAATTCGAACATTAGCTTAACATTAATATGCGAAATAAATTGTATCTAAAACTTACGTCATATCCACTCGGACTGTGTTGCTGTTTTGTTGATTGCGCATAGCCAAAGTGGAGACCATAGGTGGCCTTTGAGGCTTATTCGACAAGAGTCTCTCGATTTCCACCATCACTGAAGGAGTAAGCTGTGGCACAATCTAAAAATATTTTTTTCCATTTTATTTTTATTAAACATATAAAAATATGTATATCCAATGTACTATATTGTACATTAAAAATGAAAAATCTAAAAAATGAAGGGATAAAATACCTTAACTTAAATAATTACCTGCAAAGCATGGATGTTTTCTTTGAATTGCTCTACACTTGTAGCGCCAAGAAGTAAGCAGTTGACCGATTCGTTCTTGAGACACCACGCTACGGCTAGTTGACTCATTGAGCAATCTATTATAAGTAAAATTATAATAATGAGCTAATTATTATATTAAATAGCAAATAACTTTAACTTAAACAAAGCTCATGTTTGTTTACACTCCGAATACAGCCCGAAATTTACTAATATCACAATTAATAATAAATAATAACAAACCAACGAACTGAAGCCATATTTATAATATTATACCTAATAGTAAGAAATAGACTTACTCATTGTAGTGGCAAGATTGGCAAGGTCGCGAAGCTTGTCTCCATATGTACGTGGTTCTTCTCCGGCCACTTGTTCCTTGCTTCCAGAGATCCGCATCTGTCAAGAAAATTCAGTTAATTATTCATCTCACATACACACCCCTTACTTTAAAAGAATACCTACCTCACTGACATCTGGGACGGCCAGGTCTTCTTCACACCAACTGAATGTACTATATTTCCTATTAAAGCGCGATTTAGCAAATAGTCCTGTTATTTCTTCACGTCCTAGTCCTTTGCCCGTTGTGATCGCAGACCATGCCATCATCCCTGGGATCAGACATATGACGCCTATGAACAAGTAGTATGATAGGTCTGAGGTCACACGCCCATACCGACTGCCAAATGTTTTGGGCATAATGCACTTTATAAAGTATTGAATTATAATTTTTTTTTAAATTATATTATTTACAATGTTAAAAACAATAAGTAAGTATACATAATTTTAAATTCAAAAGTGTAAGTTAATCTTTGTTAACAATAAGCGATTTTAAATATCTATACTTAAAATCTCTTCGTCATTTTAAATTAAAAGAGAAATCATTATTATGTGATTTTACATGATATTGCCTAAATGTTTAAATTTTAACATACTCTTACTATTAAAAATTCAAAACAATAAATTTTTATAAGTATAAAAATATCACTAATCGTTTAAAAGAAGATTTAACGTGGTTGGATATCATTTTGGATGTAAATTAGTGCGAAGATCAAAAGAACTTGTACTGTAAATTCCAATAAAACTATATGAATGTGGATAATCAACAAGTGACCAAATACTTGAAGTTTTAGTAGGACCCCTCGACAAGGAGGATACGAGGTGGACACTAACAACTATACAAACTATTAAGTTTAAATGAGTTGGTATAATCGTGTCCAAAGTGTTGTTATATATATTATTCCATATATGACAATAAATATACAATTTATGACATTATTTTAGAAATACAATATTCAAATAGAAAATATATGTAATTATTGTAATGTAATGTAATTATATGTAATTTTTTTATGTTCTGTGTCCTACGAATGATTTAAAGTCTAAAAACTATAAAAAATGATTTTTTCATTATTAACTACAAATTTTAAATGTGAAATGTTTGCTGCTAAAGTAAAAATATAATTTAATGACTTTGGATGGACAATATTGTGCTTAATGTTATAAGTTACGTCTTGGCAGATGGTAAAGCGTGTGACTGCTACAAATTCATGTTCGGAAACAATACTCGTGACCATTGCGCTACACTTACCAACACCTATCTTATGATACAATTCAGGCATGTAGAGTTCTGGTTTTTCCCTACAAAACATGTGATATTCCGTTTGCTCCACTATAGGTGTGATGCAGTTGAACTGTCTACAGTTTGTGTAAGCATCCATTATCTAAACAATGAAAAGATAAAATAATCACTCAATAATGATTTTTATTAAATCTTCTTAAATTGAATCGTTTTATTAGTATTTATTTCTTATTGTAAACTGCGATTTCATTCTTACTAATACTATACGTTTTCTCTCATGACTCTTAAGTATATGGGCGAGCGGATGCATTTCGAAGGTACAATTTAGCTATAAATTGACGGTTGATTGGCGTAAAGTGTCAATATTTTCAATAGATCCTACAAAACTTTGTGTGAAAAAGTGAAAATAACATTATAATTTTGTTTCTTTATTAATGTTAGATTGGATTTAATGATGTTTAACAATAAGATGTATTTTTTTTAATTAAATTCTGATTTAATTTTTTACCTCCGAAGGCGACCAGCGAGCTGTTCCCCAATACATGACCCATCCTTGGTTGATTACAAAAGTCATGGCTCGTACCAACTCTGTTAAAAAAATTTTTCATAAAAACTGTCCCTAAAATTAAATTTCAAATTTAAATCTACATCAATTGAAATTTTTCTTACCCTCCATAGGACAAACAGGATCAGTTTTATGTAACAGTACAACGTCTATATATTCTACTTGAAGTCTTTGTAAAGACGCTTTTACGCTTTCGATGATATGTTTCCTAGATAAACCCCTTTCATCTGACCTGTTAGCATGAGGAAACCTAATAAATTGAGATATAATATTAGGCACTAGTAAAGCCAAAAGCATAAAACCAAAAGCATTAGTTTGGTATAGTAGCAATCTTATTAAGCTAAAAGCTAATTTGTAGACGCTAGCAACAGCAAATGTAGTGTCGTGAATCAAATCAAGGGCATTGCATCTCTCACAGAGTATAAATTGATTACGAATATTACCATCACAGTTATATTTTACTTCATTTATATCTTACTATTATACGCATTGTTTACTTGGTCCTTTAGTCTTCTAAGGATAGCGTGGAGTCATTTTTCTTTTATTGCTTATATTAGTATTAGTTTTTCAACTTCTTATGATAAATAAATGTTTTCATCGTTTACTCATTGATGTAAATTTAAAAAAAATAACATAATTTTAACTGTATTATTTGGTTAACTTAATTCAATGCTATTATAGTACTCTCATTTCATATATTTTTTCATAATAGAAAAATTAAGAGTACATAATACGAAAAACTTTCACACACATGTCATTTTAAGTTATAACAATAACAAGTAGATATAAAATATTACAAAAAATACAAAATAGAATAACACACGACGCTTGTTAAAATTGATATACTTACTTGGTACTCCAATATATTTTTGTTGTTATAATAACACTGGTTCGTCTTACATTTCTCTTTTTAAGTATTCTGCCCAGTTCAACTTCTCCTCTAGCTGCAAATACGAAGATTTTAAGGAAGACGAATTACACAGTTTCTTTCTTATACTTTTAAGAAGTTATAAATAATAGTGATTGTTTGATATGTATAAATATACATATCAAATCATCACGTTATTCATGAAAATCCATACTTACCACAATGAGCCTCTGACAAGTCGAACAAGTTGATACCATTTTCCAGTGCAGTCATAATGATATCTTCAGCGCAATCCTCGTTCAGCATCGTCCACAACCCCAGACCAATATTTGGTACCCTCAAGCCTGACTTGCCTAAATTTTTGTACCGAAGACCAGGAGTGACCGCTGATGGCATGCTGGTGTGGTTGCCCATGTATACTGACATATGCTTTGATATATTCATCTCGCCGGCTGCAGGTAAAACTTAGCATTTGGAAAAGTTTCAAATCCTTTATAAAACTTATTTTTAAAGCTATTGCTATATTACTAAAGTCATTCAAATATACCTTAATTAATAAAATCGGCGTTATTATTGTTTTTTTGTCTTATTTTACAGGTATAAGCTACACTTACCTTGATCCAGCATCTGCTGTGAGTTCGCGCTAAATTCATCCATGCAATCAAGTGAGGCGATTGGGGCACGACATCTGAGCAACAAATATGACTGTTTAATAAATACACTTTTTAATTTTACTGTGTGTTTATTTCTTATATTCCAATAAAATTTGAAATGATGGGGCTTTTTAGATGTAGATTAAGTAGGTATATATTCCTATATATAGTATATAGAATATTTTTAAACAAATTTAGTACTTTTTCTTTCTGTCAACATTTTTTTCTTCCGTGTTGTTTTATAATTGTTTTTCTATTAATATAGATAAGTCAAATGTGTTAGTAGTAATTAAGAATTTTTCAATAAATATCTTATTTTATTTCGTTTATAATACGATTTACTAATAATTAATTGTTAGCAGATTTTTATACTTAATTTTTTACCTATATGTTGCAATTAAACTTTTTTTTGATATTGATTCAACATACAACTTTGTAAAAATAATTTCTAGTATTAGGTATATTTCATAAATCTAATCTAAATACATTCTATTCTGTATATCTATGTTATTCTATATAGTAATTATACGTACTATAGCTTCTAGCTTTTTATTAGGTCAACTGTTCAATGTTACTGTACTTGTAGGTGATGACTAGGTACTTAATATTAAAAATACTACTCGTACACTACTTTCATATGCCTTTTCTAATTTGATAAAAAAAAACATTATCAGTGATAAGGCAAATAATCTATAAATATAAAAACTTGTAAGTAACACTACGTAGGAGTCTATATGAGTCTTAATCATTATATCTATCATTTGTTCAATTCATTAAGATCTCTTACTTACTACTGTGTATTATCTAGTGATTTTTACATTCGGTACGACTAATAGCTATATTAATTATAGTTTATAGATGAACAATTGGTACGAATATCATGTTATAATGTGCTCATGTACTATAGTTACATCTAAGTATCCTTCTCTCTAAGTTCGTATGTCATTTATTATTAGTAATTTCTCTAATATCTACTCATAGTCTATACATGTATTTAATACCTATTTCAAATGACATTTTATTAAAAAGCGATAGAAGTGAGGCTAAAAGGTCGTGATTAGCAAGGAAAAGGGTATCAGAAATTATGAGGCACAGTGATAAAGCGACAGTGGAACATTTGATACTGTACCTTGCAGGTCTTCTTCGTAGCCAGCATGATGCAAGCCAAGCATCGTACTAAATATTCGGCAATATCTTAAGCTTTTTGTATGTAGGCCTTAGCCGGATCGCGTTATTTTAGTACTCGAGTTGCAATTTCTTTTAGAATTAGAAAATAATACTATAAAAGTATAAACCGTTATGTTTAGATGTTTCAAGGCTAGTTTAGAAGTTTTTTGAATGCGATCAGACCAAAGTTTTGTCAAATACTTAACAATTTCGCATAAGATACGTCGCCTTCGGTGCCTATTCGCATGCGTCGTTCGTTGTGCGATGCAGCGGAGTGCTTAGCTTTCCGTTGGGACAAGACGTAAGGGTTGCAGTCTAATGAATTTTCGTATGTTTTATAATGTGTCATGTAGTTGCGCAACAACTTAGAGGTAAACTGCACAATTGATTCTTATTAAATATTCATATTTAATACCGCGTACATAAATGGTAGATATCGATTGTTCAGAGTACCCACATTACAATTGCGATTCTCGGTTGAAAACTTTATAATGGATTAACGTGTTAGAAAATCGCTCTCGTAAAGTCAATTACGTCTTCTCTCGTAACGGTGCGGTGGTATCATACCGGTATATAGTTGGCATAGGATTGGAGTCGACGCTGACGGAGTCTGGGGGGCCGAGTGGTGTATGCGGTGTACACCGGCTGACCGTCGACTCGCTTCGCGACATCATCCCGTCTTTTCCAACGCCCTCCCTGCCTTGCATCTCGAGACGCCTCATTCCGCTCCTACGCTTAGCAACACCATCTTAACTCCCTACAAACATCTTATCTGTAATAAAACACTTCCACGGTCGAAGGAAAGGATATTGCGGGCTTATATTGAACACTCAAAGACGTAAACATAGATAAGCATGCATGCCCTAAACGCTAATCTAGTCCGCTAACTCGGTTTAACATTGTAAGAAACATCTAACCACTGAACTATCACAGTAGAGAGGAAATTTGGTCTTTAGACGCCGAACAGGGCACTCACCGGGTCGGCAGATCTAATTACTCAATATAAGAAGCGATGCCGTCGAAGTTTTCGTTGTGAAATCTGGTTACTGTGTCGTAACGCGGCGTAGGGGTTGGAACAAAGGGATGCGCGCGACGCAATCCCGCGCATGCGCCTTACCTATATGACCTATTTCTACGCTTAACCATAGATACCATAGCGATTGCTTGATATAAAATATCTATATCATAACTATAAAAAATTTTGCTAGACTAATAAAGTAAAAAACATTGATTAATTTCCTAAATTCACGATGTAAACTTGCGCAGTCCATTTAAGATTCATCGATCTGTTTTGAGGTATTGCGAGGGAAGGGGGGCCGGGGACGGGGTGAGGAGGGGGGGGGTGATGTAAGGGGGGAGGCTGCGTGACCTAGACCTAGCTACATTTTCGTAAAGCACTAATTTTTTTTGGGACTAAATTTAATGAAAAAAATCCAAAAAAATACCTAAAAAAATCAGCATTATTTATTAATTATTATATAATTTTCTTCACTTAAATAATCATTATAGCTAGCTTTATTTTAATAGCAATTGGAATTTGTAACCAAGGTAAAATGCAGTCCAAATGCAGCGGCGCCCCGCACTACATCTCGGACGCGCTCTTCCCCGAGGATCATATTTATTGTTGCAATCGCTCAGGAAGCGAAAGTCGTCTCTTTAGTTTCCAAAGTTGCGATTTTTTTTAATTGTGATTTAACTATAGTCTAGATTCATTAAAAATATAGTTCAGTTTTTAAATTAAAAGAGTTTTTGGAATTTACGTCTTAACTAAAACCGCGCGCGTCTTGGTACACTACTTGTTGAATGCCGTTTTGTTACTTGGGAATAAATTGTTTGTAGATCCCCAAGTCGCGGGGTCTTTAGGGATCATTTTCGTGCAAAATTAGGCGAAATACTTTTATGAATGGAGCATAATCGTAGATTAACTCGGTGCGTATTTAGCCAAGTAAGATTTTTCTATTGCATGACTGTTTCTCAAATTTTTTACATAGCGCGCTTTCTGTGTTTTGTGTTAATGCAAAAATTAAGTTGTGCAAATTTTTAATAGCTTAGGTATACACGTTTTTAGTTTTATTCGCCTTTTAGTGTATTAAATTTATCTGCATTTAATTTATGTTAGAATCCTAGTTGAAGGTGTCCTTTGTAGTTGCTATTTAGTAGCGAATTTCGTGCGTTTTGAAAAATTATCTATAGGTACAGATAAAATTGAAGTGTCTGTTTGTAATATCAAAATAACAGCGTTTTACTAAATGCTTATGAAATTATATACGGTACTCATAAGAAAAACACAATGTTTTAAAATTTTTGTCTGTCTGTCTGTTTGTTCCGGATAATCTCTAAAACGGCTGGACTGATTTTGATGGGACTTTCACTGGAAGATAGCTGATGTTATAGGGAGTAACATAGGCTACTTCTATTTTAGAAAAAGAATTAGGATTTCGCTAAATAAAACTAAAACGTATCTAGGGACGAACCCGAGCGAAGCGAGGTTGAGTCTCTAGTATGTACATATGTACGTAGTTTATAATGCTTTCATTAAGTGCGCTATATTTTATAAATATATAATTTTTAAATAAATTTGTCTAAGCTCTGCATATTATTTATCACTTTTTTCTATCCGAAAATTATACACATATTTATTATTATACACTTGCTTCGCTCAGGTGCGTCCCTAGGTATGCGGATTTTGCTTACAATTTCTTGGGTTTTAAGTTTTTTGCGCGGAATCCTGATTGTTGTTCTAAAGTAAAAGTACCTTAAGTTACTCCTTATAACATCAGATATCTGCCAGTCAAAGTCCCGTCAAAATAGGTCTAGCCGTTTCGAAAATTAGCCGGAACAAACACACAGACAGACACAAAAAAATTAAAAAATTGTTTTTTTTTCTTATTAGTACCATGTATACTTTCATATGCATATAGTAAAAAGCTGTTATTTTGACATTTTTATTATAAATATGTATTAGGTATATGAAGTTTCACAACATAGGTACCTACTATTTCATATATATGTGTATCCTAGGTATATAATGTATTGATTTGATTTTCATTCCGGCGAGAGTTAATGTATTTGGAACTAGAATATCTATACGTATTATAAAATTCTAACTGAGTCTAATCTGTATTTTCAATATTTTTTGGAAAATCTTATTGAAATAGTCATTATTATTATCCATACAGAGGCCGAATCTATAGTTTATAGAATTTTTGTCTATCTATCTGGGAACACATCACGAGAAAACCACTAATAGCTTTTTCTTCTACCTATATAGATAAATTTAAAAAGCAAAACCTTATTTAAACACAAAATTTGATCCAAATTGTAAAGCCGTTTCCAAGATACACGAAATAAATTTATACATATACTAGCGACTCATCCTCGCTTCGCTCGGGTTCGTCCTTAGGTTGATTCCCCATACAAACTTTCATCGCCATTTTCACCCCCTTAAGAGATGATTTCCGGGATAAAAAGTATCCTATGTCCCCTTTCCAGGATATCAAACTATCTTCTTACCAAATTTCATCTAAATCGGTTCAGTAGATGCAGAGATTAGCCCCTACAACGTCAAAAACTCACAAACTTCTTATACCTCTTTATAATATTAGTATAGATTAGTATAGATGTATAAGTTTTTTTTTATATTATAAGATAAAGTTATTTAAATATAAAATACAGCAACCTAATTTTCACTCATGGATCCGTTTGATACAATAGGAAAATAGCCACATAAAATATTGATTTATTTAGGAGTCATTTCTTTATAGTATAAGCAGAAAATCATACAGAGTCGTCGTGGTACTCAAAACTCTATGCACTACAAATTTACAAACATGAAACAAATAAAAAAAATCTTGTTTAATTACAATAATATATAACGTTATATAATTATACTTATTTTTTCTCAGAAATGAGATATTTTCTCGCGGTAAAAAGTATCCTATATGTTGACCCGGATAACCAGCTATCACCATACCAAATTTCATCAAAATTTGTCTAGTGGTTTTATCGTGATGCGGTAACAGACAGACAGACAGACAGACAGACAGAGAAAAACTCTAAAAACTATAAATTCGGACTCTGTATCGATAATAATGTCCATTTCAATTAGATTTCCCAAAAAATATTTAATGTACAGATTCGACTTAGTTACAATTTTATTATATGTATAGATATAAACTTCAGAAAATAGATAGGTATATAATTATACTTATTATATATTAGATTCTTATTATATTATGACATAAATGAAAAATCTTAAAAAGCTTTTTTTTAAATTATAAATTTATTAAATATCTAGTAAGAGAAATATGATTAAGAGAGTGTCCGACAACACGTTGTCATTGAATGCTTGTTGTCGGTACTGAAATTACTTTGTCGGGATCAAACATGACGTTCCGCCCGGGCTTTACAGAGCAGGTGCTACACAAAGCCGTGTCTGTCTATTGTCCGCAGGGCTATACACTAATATTAAAGAGCCAAATAAAGTGACAGCTATTTATTATGTAAAAATTAAAAAGTACATTTATATAAGACGCGACTCACCCTCGCTCTGCACGGGTTCGTTCCTAGTTACGTTTTGACGTTTAGTACTCGTAGATTTCGAAGATATGAGAAATTTTCTCGCAGTAAAAAGGATTCTATGTGTGGACCTGGATAACCAGCTATCATCATACAAAATTTCATCAAAAACTATCTAGTGGTTGTCTTGGGATGAGTTCAGACAGACAGATAAAATTTCTAAAAACTATATATTCGGACTCTGTATCGATAATAATGATTATTTCAATAAGATTTTTGAAAAAATAGTTAATATACAGATTCGAATCAGTTAGAATTTTATTATATACTAGAGGCTCACCCTCGCTTAGCTTGGGTTCGCTTCTAGACAAACAAAAACAAATCTATCCCACGGCAACCGTACATTTTTCCGGGATAAAAAGTAGCCTTTTTGTTATTCTGATGTATGAACTATATTATTGTAGTTTCATTAAAATCCAATCAGGAGTTTTTGTGTACTAAGCTGTATAAGTTACTATAGTTTTTTAACTATCCCACGGGAACTCTTAAATTTTCCGGGATTAAAAGTATCTAAAATGTTGACCGGATATATAAGGTACCACCATTTAAAATTTCATTTAAATCTGTCCAACAGTTTCAGAGATTAGCCCGTACAAGCAAATAAACAGATAAACAGACAGACAGAGAAACAAAACATTTGAAAAAAAGACTGGATTTGTTCTATTTCTCTTCTTACATCCCCCTGACTCGGTTTTTAGGATTTTTTTCTATGTACAGACATTGGACCTCTACAGTTTTATTATTTGTAAAGATGATAAGGTGATTAATTTATGAGGACAAGTTGTGAGTTGAGTATAATTAAAAAAAATATTAAATAAAAAGAATAAAATGCAAAAACCGACTTCTAAAAAAACTGAAAAGTAAAAAATATCTGATTGGTAATTTTCATTTTTAATAAAAAATACATATTATAAATTAAAACTGCACGATTCTTTACATAACATTTTGTAAGCAATCAATTACTTCTTTACAAAGTATAAACAGCGACATGATGAAATTGTTTAAAATCAATTGTTCCGTAATTGCAATTAAATTATTTTTAACATGTTGAAAGAAGTAATTAATGGTCGACCCGGCGAGAGCCATTTGTTATGCCTGGAAAGTTTACTGAATATGTCATTAAATTCTGTCTCTTTATATTGAA